CTTAGTTTATTAAGCTGAACGGATCAATACTTGGAGGATGGCTACTATGACAGTACAAGGAAGTCACAGATGCTAATACACATCTACAGTTTTCCAGAAGGACTTTGGCTAGGCATACTGATAATGTATGTGTATACCTGTGTATGTGTCTGTATATGTTTATTTTTTTTCAAAATACTAAGGAAACATATCTTCAGAAAAATACTCTATTCCAAAATAAAATAAAAACAATAACATAAAACTGCAAAAGAGGCCTGGTGCAGAGGCTCATGCCTGTAATTCCAGCACTTTGGGAGGCCGAGGTGGGCAGATCACAAGGTCAGGAGTTCAAGACCATCCTGGCTAACATGGTGAAACCTCATCTCTACTAAAAATACAAAAATTAGCTGGGCATGTGGGGCATGCCTGTAATCCCAGCTACTCGGAAGGCTGAAGCAGAATTGCTTGGACCGGGACCCAGGAGGCAGAGGTTGCAGTGAGCCAAGATCGTGCCACTGCACTCCAGCCTGGGCTACAGAGTGAGACTTCGTCTCAAAACAAACAAACAAACAAAAAGCTGCAAAATAATTTTTCCATAATTGTATATACTGCCCAAGGAAACCAATATTTAACATTTTATTCTTTGATTTCCTGTCTTTTTTCTATGTATATATATTTGCAATCACAGCTTTATATAGTTCATATCATTTTGTTGCTTGCTTTTTTCACTTTATGTATACGCATATTAAATTATTTGCATTTTTTTCCACAGTAGATATGTACTGATTAGTAATTAAAACAGTTAAATACAGCATCATAATAATAAAAAAAAAAAGCTGGCTAAATGCTATTGTATGAGCATAGTTAATCTCTTACATTTGTAATTAAAACAGGAAATAAACTTTTTTTCGAATTAAGTTTGATCTGGCCATTATTTTATCTACTTGTTCCATCCAGATGACGTCTTCTACGAATTTGGTACCATGAAATATAGTATGAAAAAGGGATTAGAAAACATAATAAATGACTCTAATTGCAAAATGTTGTTTCAGGGGAAAAGGCACATATTATGTCAAGAAAGTAGAAAACAATTTAAAATAGCAAATAAGTTAGGATGGTGTACAACATAAGCTCTGCAGTACTTTGCAATAAAGAGAAATCAATTCCATGAAAGCAAGGTGAGTTTCTTTGGCCAAACACATCTTTGTGCTGCACATTGTACAAAATATCATGAACACAATGAAGCATAAGATAGTCTTAAAGCTCTAAAGCTGGCCGGGTGCAGTGGTTCACGCCTATAATCCCAGCACTTTGGGAGGCAGAGGCGGGTGGATCACGAGATCAAGAGATCGAGACCATCCTGGTCAACATGGTGAAACCCCATCTCTACTAAAAATACAAAAAAATTAGCTGGGCATGGTGGCACATGCCTGTAGTCCCAGCTACTCGGGAGGCTGAGGCAGGAGAATTGCTTGAACCCAGGAGGTGGAGGTTGCGGTAAGCCAAGATCGTGCCATTGCACTCCAGCCTGGGTAATAAGAGCGAAACTCCGTCTCAAAAAAAAAAAAAAAAAAAAAAAAAAGCTTTAAAGCTGTGCTGTCCACTAGGGCAGCCACTGGCCACAAGTGAGTATTGAGCACTTGAAATGGTTAGTCCAAAGTGAGATGTGGTGTAAGAATAAAAAGTGCTAGGTTTTGATATTATCCAACAAATATAAAATACATTATTAATGTTTATATTAAGTATATATATATTATTTTTAGCACATGAAATTATAATATTTCAGACATATTAGACAAATTGGGTTAAATAAACTATAATATTAAAATTATTTTCACCTTTTTTTTTTTTTTTTTTCAATTTTTAATCTGGCTTGCTAAGAAGCTTATAGTTACATATGGCCAGGTGTGGTGGTTCATGCCTGTAATCTCAGCACTTTGAGAGGCCAAGGCAGGCAGATGTTAAAGTCAGGAGTTCGAGACCAGCCTGGCCAAGATGGTGAAATCCCGTCCCTACTAAAAATACAAAAATTAGCCGAGTGTGGTGGCACGCGCCTGGAGTCCCTGCTACTCAGGAGGTTGAGGCAGAAGAACTGCTTGAACCCAGGAGGCAGAGGTTGCAGTGAGCCAAGATTGCACCACTGCTCTGCACTCTCACCTGGGCAACAGAGCAAGGCTCCATCTCAAAAGAAAAAAAAAAAGAAAGAAAGTTTATAGTTACATATATGACTCACACTGTCTCCTATTGATTGGTGCTGCTCTGGGATTTTAAAATCCAGACAAGAAAATGGGAAATTAAAAGCTATACAAAATAACCTATACAAAGTGCCAAGAGAAGGCCGGGCGCAGTGGCTCAAGCCTGTAATCCCAGCACTTTGGGAGGCCGAGGCGGGTGGATCCACGAGGTCAAGAGATCGAGACCATCCTGGTCAACATGGTGAAAACCCCGTCTCTACTAAAAATACAAAAAATTAGCTGGGCATGGTGGTGCGTGCCTGTAATCCCAGCTACTCAGGAGGCTGAGGCAGGAGAATTGCCTGAACCCAGGAGGTGGAGGTTGCGGTGAGCCGAGATCGCGCCATTGCACTCCAGCCTGGGTAACATGAGTGAAACTCCATCTCAAAAATAAAAAAATAAAAAAATAAAAAATAAAATAAAATAAAAATAAAATAAAAATAAAAACAAAGTGCCAAGAGATGAAAAAGAGAAGCTACAAACTGACAAGCACCCGTAATAAACTTAGCAGTCTATGAAAGAGAGGGAAGGTCTTGGTTGATACCAAGGAAGAATGATTGTAATACTGATGGAAAAATGAAGCATGGCGAGGAGGGTGGAGCTACAGTGTTTCTGTGGGGAGAGATACTATTTAACTTTAGACCAACTGACTTGTTGGTGGAATACACAAGTGGACACAGGTAGGCATAGTTTTGACCTTCACTCTCAGGAGAAAATTCAGAGCCCAATGAAATCTATGGGTTCTTTGAGTAGACGTGATGGTTGAAGTCGTAAGATGAACTTATCAGAAGGTGTGAGAGGAAGAAGACAAAATATCTGACTTGTGGAGGAAGTACATTTAGAGGGAAGAGGCGAAGACTTTGGAGAAAACATCACGGGGTGAGAAGAAGCTGATCAGTGTCATGTCATCGAAGCCAAGGGAGAGGAAGATGAGGGTGGGGGAATGGTTCATTCATTTTTTTCTTCATGTTTTCATTTATATTAGTTCAATTTCATGCAGTAACATTTATTAAATACCGACTTTATGTCAAGTATTGTGAGGATTTCTGGAGATACGGCAATAAATCTATGGTGTAGAAAATAGTATGGTAAAAGGGGAGACAAGCAAGGATGGCTGTGGAAATGGAAAGAAAAATCTAGGGATCACTGAGCTTTGCATAAATGACAACTGGTAACCTAAGCTATTGGCATCATACCACCACCACAACAAGAACCTAAACTAAGCAGACAGGATTGGAGAATTACTAAATAAGGTACATAATGAAGGTAACCAAATATCTATTTATTTATTTATTTATTTATTTATATTTGAGACAGTGTCTCCCTCTGTCACCCAGGCTGGTGTGCAGTGATGTAATCTCTGTTCACTGCAACCTCTACCTCCTGGGTTCAATTGATGCCTCAGCCTCCCAAGTAGCTGGGATTACAAGTGTGGGCTACCATGCCTGACAATTTTTGTATTTTTAGTAAAGATGGGGTTTCACCATGTTGGCAAGGCTGGTTTCAAACTCCTGACCTCAAGCAATCCACCTGCCTCAGCCTCTCAATGTGCTGGGATTACAGGCCTGAGCCATTACACCTAGCCACCAAATATTTAATTACATGTATTTTTGCCAAATAGATATAGCTAAAGCAGAGTTTCTCAACCTCAGCCCACTGACATCTGGACTAAATGACGCATGGGGAGGCTTTCCATGGCTTTCCATGTAGGATGTTTAGCAGCATCCAGGACCTCTACCCCAATCCACCCCCTCCCCAGTTGTAACAATCAAAAATCTCCAGATACTGCCAAATGTCCTCTGGGAAAATAGCAAAATTACTCTGGTTTTTTTACTGAGATGAAGTTTCACTCTTGTTGCCCAAGCTGGAGTGCAATGGCATGATCTAGGCTCACTGTAACCTCCACCTCCCAGGTTCAAGAGATTCTTCTGCCTCAGCCTCCTGAGTAGCTGGGATTACAGGCATGCGCCACTATGCCCGGCTAATTTTGTATTTTTAGCAGAGACGGGGTTTTACCGTATTAGTAAGGCTGTTCTCAAACCCCTGACGTCAGGTGATCCACCCACCTTGACCTCCCAAAGTGCTGGGTTTACAGGTGTAAGCCACCACGCCTGGCCCAAAATTACTCTTGATTGACAAACAGTGACCTAAAGTAACAATTCAGAGATGAAATAAAACTAATACCTATGGTGAAGGGTATTTGTTAAAGTCAAGTTTGCAGATGCTTCCTTCAGCTCTTGGTGGCATAATACAACAGACTTTTGTTTATTGTTCACCCAAGGATCAGTTGGTGGTGTTGAGCTGGAAAGGAGGATGTGCTCATTTGGAAGCTCAGGCTCCTTCCAACTTGTGACTCTTCCATCTTCTGTATATGGCATTTAAGATATCCCTGGGTGGCAGCATCACCTGGAGCCAAAGGAAGAGAGAGCACAGGACTACACAGGTGGTTTTTATACACCAGGTCTGGAAGAGAATATACCACTTCTCTCCATATCCCATTAGCCAAAACAGAGTCCCATCTCCACGGTAAAGATGGCGAAGAAATTCTGTTCAACTGTGAGTCCAGGAGGATGGGAAATATGTTTCATGAGCAATTAGCCAGTCAACTGCCAATAAGCCAAAAGCTACCTTGAACCTCAAATGTAATTTGGTCTTTGATTATCAAAGGTGAATGTCTACATGAGTCAAATTAAACAAATTGTTAGACAAATGTCCATGTATCTTTTGTTTTTTTTTTTTTTTGAGATGGAGTCTCACTCTGTCACCCAGGATGGAGTGCAATGGCACGGTCTCAGCTCACTGCAACCTCCGCCTCCCAGGTTCAAATGATTCTCCTGCCTCAGCTGCCTGAGTAGCTGGGATTACAGGTGCGTGCCACTGCGCCCAGCTAATTTTTGTATTTTTACTAGAGATGGGGTTTCAACATCTTGGCCAGGCTGGTCTTGAATTCCTGATCTTGTGATCCACCCACCTCAGCCTCCCAAAGTACTGGGATTATAGGCATGAGCCACCACGCCCAGCCAATGTCCGTGTACCTTAATGCCATGTACAGGCATGGTTGTTTTAGAGTCAGTAGTATTGAGTCTGAGTTGCTAAAGAAAAGCAACAAAGCAAATAATTCTATACGAAATGATACACAGCCATTATGCAAATTACTTTATAAGCAATTGGGGGAAGTGAGCAATACCTCTCTTCAGAAAGATGCAGAATAGAAGGATGAAGAATTAAGAATGAAATCACAGGATTGGTTCAGAAGTTGAACTCACAGCCAGAATCACCACAGGAAATGATGTGGCCACCTTCCTGGATGTGGATGTGGGTAAAGTTACTTTATATCTATAATGCTGTATTTGAAACACATAAAAGATAGATCATCCAGAAAACAAAATAGACCATTAAAATAATCACATAATTAAAATCATCTAAAATATGTGAAGACTTGATAACTTATTAAATGTATGATTTATTTAAGAAATAGAATTACAATCTGTTTGCATTAAACAGCATTAGTGCATCCCACTTGGCCACCTTGTTTTTGTTATTCTTTCCATATTCTAACATTTGTCATCATTTAACGTATAAGCGAGGCAGTATTTATACTACCTAAATTACAAGACTACTTTCTGAACACCCAAGCAGTTAGGGACACCCACAGACACTGGAGGACAAAATGTAATGCAATGTCCACCCCAGTTGGCACGTGTTGTGGTGGGGATTCTCTCAGTGTGTTGATAGGCTTGACATCCAGATACCTATATATGTCGGATCTTGTAGTACAGTTTTCTTTAGAGACTGTATTACGGATGTGATTTGTTGTCTACTCTATCTGCAAAGGTTTGGATAGCCCATAATGTAGTTAAAATACAAAATTATTCATGGGGAGGCTTCGACTAGGCCATAAACAGTACCAAATTCCTTCCATTAGATTTGGAGGCAGCCTGCTTTGGTAAGTGACAGCTGGGTCTCATAATAACAAACTTATAACTTTGCTGGATGCACTAAAAAGACAGCAAATAAAAGACATCTGGGACCAAGTATGTGCCATGAAGGTTGGTTCTATTTCATTCGGTTTCCTTCCTCTTTTCTTCTACCTTAATATAATTAACTTAACTCCCATCTGTTTCTATGGTATTCTGAAGTGCAAATAAAATTATCTTTTGGAAAATAAAATAAGAAGTTGTGGTACCTGAACCATCACTAGAATCAAGGGATCTAGGGCAAATCACTTAGCATATGACCCTCTCATGGTAAACCAGTCTGCTCAGGAAAAAAAAATCAAGTTAAAATAAATATTCAGAACAGCCGTGATGACAAATAAACATAAATGATGAGCATGTAGCTGAATAGTTTTTCTACAAGTGTGAAGAGAGAAGAGATTTTGCTTCTGTACAAATTTTAGTAGCAACAGTGAAATATTTTTCTTCTTATGGCCTCTCCATCTGAGTCACTGCACTGTATCAACAAAGTAAGTCCTAAAATGAGGAGAGGCCAGTATGGGACAGAGAGCCTAGGTGATCACCAAAGACACCTGCTCCTCTCTCAAAGGGTAGCGTTGCTGATCCCTATGTATCCCAGCACCCTTGCTATTAAGAGTAGTCACATGGACAGGGCACGGTGGCTCACGCCTGTAATCCCAGCACTTTGAGAGGCCAAGGTGGGCGTATCACTTGAGGCCAGGAGTATGAGAACAGCCAGTCCACCATGGTGACATCCCGTCTCTACTAAAAATACAAAAATTAGCTGGGCATGGTGGTGCATGCCTGAAATCCCAGCTACTCAGGAGGCCGAGGCAGGAGAATCGCTTGAACCAGGGAGAATGAGGTTGCAGTGAGCAGAGATCGTGCCATCATACACCAGCCTGGGTGACAGAGCAAGACTTCATCTCAAAGAAAAAAAAAAAATTAGCTGGGTGTGGTGGTGCAGCCTGTAATCCCCAGCTACTCAGGAGACCAGGAGGCCAAGATGGGAGGATCTCTTTAACCTGGGGGACATAGGTTGCAGTGAGCCAAGATCTCACCACTACACTCCAGCCTGGGTGACAGAGTGAGACTCTTTCTCAGAAAAAATAAATAAAAATAAGAGTAGTCTCGTGATTCATACTGGCCAATGAGTGTGAGTGAAAGTAATGTGCATGACTTTAGGCTGAGGTGATGAGTGATCCAATGGAAGCTCTTCATGTCCTTTTCTGTGGCATCCTTGGAGGTGATATGAAGAGGGGGGCACCACAAGATTAAAGGAGCATAACTCTGAGTCACTGCTTGGAAAAATGTTTTCCAGTAGAGCTCTCCAACAAAGAGTATCCACCCTGAATGTGGCCTGAGTGAGAAATCAATTTTTATTGTGTTCTCTCAGATATATTGGTACTGTTCGTCTGAGCATTAGACTCATCTTAATAATACACAGCATAATTTGCCAGATTGGGGTTGGTCTGAAGATAGCTGGCAACTGAATGATATCAACTATAAATATTTACAGGATATTAGAGAAGGATTGATCGTTGTGGTCTGCCCGGATCAATGAAGGTTTGCTAGGGAAGAGAGGCAAGCTGGGTCCTGAGAATGTATTAGAAAAGAGGGAGAGGAAAAGAAACCCAGGCAGGAGCATGGAGATAGCAGTGTGTAATTTAAGACATAAATAGACCAATTTAACTTGGAGGTAAAGTTAAAAAGGGATTTTGAGAGGCTAGGAACCCTTTGGAGAGAAAGTGGGGTTTTGAGTCCCATATTAAGAACCTATCTTATCACTGAGTGGGACTCACTGAAGATGTTTGCATAGTGCAATGGCAACATGAAAGATGATTTTAGGAAAAAGGGAAGAGACAGAAAAGAAAAAGGAAAAGAAAACCCCAGCCAGTTAAGGTGCAGGAGGGGACAAGGGCGGCAGGTGGTGAATGATGGGAAGTGCGAACTTCCTGCTGTCCTTGGGCCTGTCTTTCCCTCTTCCGACGAGTTACTTGTATTCAGGCTGTTTGTGCTCCTCGAAGTGTGGCAGCAGTCTTATTGTCTACCCAAAAGCCATTTTCCCCTTCTTATTTGTCGACAAAGATTCCAACTTGCTGGCAACAATGTGTCCTGTTCTGGAGATGAACCGGTGTTATTCAAGTTAGTTGCTTCTATTACATTCCTCTCAGCAGAATGTGGTTGAAACTGCAGAAGGAACTCGTGATCCAGGCCTGGACAAGGCCATATCAGGAAGCCTGCTGAAGGCTTCTGCAAAACTTTTTCTTCACTGATAAAAGAAAATAACCACTTAAGAGAAAATCTTCTACTCTTTTTCCCTCTCTCCACTTCTTGCTTTTCAATGCTATTGGGATAGTTCAGGCTGTGGCAGTCAGCTTGAGTCCACACAGCAGAGATGGTGGAATGAAAAGAAAGGCAGCGCTTAGTTTCTTGATAGCATCACTGAGTGCCATGTTGATAGTCTCTACCTCCAGACTTTTTTTCTTTTTTTTTTTTTGAGACAGGGTCTCACTCTGTTGCCCAGGCTGGAGTGCAGTGGTGTAATCACAGCTCACTGCAGCTTGGCCTTCCAGGCCCAACTGACTCTCCTGCCTCAGACTCCTGAGTAGCTGGGACTACAGGCATGCACCATCACACCCAGCTAATTTTTGTATTTTCTATAGAGATAGGGTCTAACTATGCTACCCAGGCTGGTCTCAAACTCCAGGGCTCAAGCAATCCGCTTGCCTCGGCCTCCCAAAGAACTGGGATTATAGGCATGAGGCAGAGCACTTGGCCCCAGACTTCTTATGATGAGAGATAATTAGATATTTTTATAGATTAAGCCACAATTAACTAAGTTTTCTGTTATTTGGAACTAAAAGAATCCCTGGCTATTCCAAAATAAATTCCTTCTCAAAGGTATTAATATCTGAAGTTTTCACATGCTACAACCCATGATGGGCTGTAGCTGGTGATTTCACATGTGGAGACATATCTGATTCCTGAGTAAAGAGATTTAAGCAGTGGCCGGGCATGGTGGCTCATGCCTGTAGTCCAAGCACTTTGGTGGCCAAGGTGGGAGGATCACCTGAGGTCGGAAGTTCAAGACCAGCCTGACCAACATGGTGAAACCCCATCTATTAAAAAAAAAAAAAAAAAAAAAAAAAAAAAAAAAAAAAAAAAGAGGTTTAAGCAGTAAAGCTAAGACCCTTACAATATGTGAACATCAATGCCTTAAGCCCAGATACAAATGATAAACCAAGAATAAAAGATTCAAGTGAAAATCCTTTAAAAGCTGAATGGAAAGTGAGAGATCAAAGGAAAGTATCTAGGCCAGGCGTGGTGGCTCATGCCTGTAATCCAAGCACTTTGGAGGCCAAGGTGGGCAGATCACCTGAGGTCTGGAGTTCAAGACCAGCCTGACCAACATGGTGAAACCCTGCCTTAAAAAAAAAAAAAAAAAAAAAAGGAAAGTATCTAAAATATGGAAGTCAAATAATTCAGCAGACTAGCTATCATTGATAACAGTAAAAATAAATGAGGCAAAGCATTCAGAAGATAGAAGGAAATTACTGTATCCACAAGAAATAGTGTTATTTTGCCCTGGATTTGTAATATCATTGACTTTTAAAAAAGCATCTATAATTAAAGCTTCAGAATCAGAGGTGTGTATAAAATTTTCCCAGACACAAATTTAATAAAAGATTAAAATAAAATCAGTGGGAGTCATGTTGCTTATTCAGAACTACATACAGCCTGTTAACTGAACAAATCATTTATTAACACTGTTAACAAACATTCTGCCATGAAGACAATTGGAAAATAAACACACAAAAATCTTTGAGACCTTGAGCAAATTATGTCCCAAAGAACAAAATCAACTTCTCAAGTATATCTCTAGAAAATCAGAAGTGAATGAAAAAAGAGTGTGTTCTTTTTTTTCTTTTTTAAATTTTTAAAAATTATTTTATTTTATTTTTTTTTAAGACGGGGTTTCACCATATTGGTTAGGCTGGTCTCGAGCTCCTGACCTCAGGTGATCTGCCCGCCTCAGCCTCCCAAAGTGCTGGGATTACAGGCATGAGCCACCGCGCCCGGCAAAAGAGAGTGTGTTCTTATTCAGAAAGCTAATATTTTATCTCACTGTGATCCTCTCTCTATGTGAAAAAAACTGTTCTGTCCTGAAACTAAGTTTTAACTTGTGTTTTTATTTAGTGCTTTTCCAACATTTGAAATGTCTGGCACATTGTGGTTTTCAATAGTTTTTTGAGTGACTACCTAAAATCTGCTGTATTCTCTTTCTGTGGCTGCTGTAACAAATTACTACAAGCTTGTCTTAAAATAGCAGAAATTTATTCTTTCACATTTTTGGAGGCCAGAAGTCCAAAACGAATATTATTAGGCCAAAATCAGTAACAGCGGGGTCATCTTAATCCAGAAGCTGTAGGGAAGAATCTGTTGCTTGCCTCTTCTGGTGACTTCCAGCATTCCTTGGCTTGCGGCTACATCACTCCTATCTTAAAGACCACCACCTTCAACAGCACCTTCAATCTCTCTCTGCTCTGTCTTCACATCACCTCTGCCTGTGTGTAAAATCTCTCTGCCTCCCTTTTATAATGACACATGAGATTGTATATTTAGGACCTACCCTAATAGTCCAGGATAATCTCTTATCTCAAGATCCTAAACTTAATCATATCTGCAAAGACACTAAAAAAAAAACTATATTATGTAACATGCACAAGTTCCAGGGATTATC